GAGTGGGGTGAAGGACAGAGGGAGAGAATCTCAAGCAGACTCTGTGAGGAGCGTGGAGCCCAACACAGGGCTCACTCTCATGACACTGAGATCATGACCTGAGCCAAAACCAAGAGTCAGATGCTTGACTGACTAGGCACCCAGGTGCTCCCGGGCTATTGGGAAAAATGCTGCAATGAACATGGGGGTAGGTACCTCTTCCAGATAGAGATTTTCTTTCCTTTGGATATATACCCAGAAGTGGAATTGCTGGATCATATGGTAGTTCTATTTTTAATTTTTTGAGAAAACTCCATCCTGTTTTTTATGGGATCTACATTCTAGAAAATTCTACATTCCCACCATTCCCTTTTCTTTGCATCCTCGCCAAGTCTGGATATCTCTTGTCTTTTGGACAATAGCCGTTCTAATAGGCATAAAGTGGTAGCGCATCATGGTTTTTGATTTGCCAAATCTTGTCATAATTTTAATGCAGGTGGATGGAGACTTTCCAAAGCTGCTGCTTCTGTCCCAAATCCAAGGTCCAGGCTGCGGGGGACCAGGGACCTCATTTGCCTGAGTAGAGGTGGTGCAGCTGCTCTCTACTGTCTTGGGGGGAGAAAAACCAGTCTTAATTTAATATCCTTGGACATGTAACCTCCTGCAAACACAAATTTAATAGCTGACAAAATATGATTATGCATATGCTCATCTGTGCGCAGTTTTTTCTTTTTTTGGTTTACTCTTCATTCTCCCTTCCCTCCATTTCTCCTTCTACATCATGTCCTGCCCCAGCCAGGTGAGCCAAGGTCACAACTACTGTCCCTCCTGCCCTAGTTCTTCATGTTCTCGAATGCTTACATATACGTGCATGTACAGATATGTGTGCCTATCCTGTATGTGATGTGGACCCAAATATTACATGTACAGCAATATTTGGTGATTTGTTTATTAAAATGAATCCAGTTAGGACCTCCTGATTGTACTTGCTTTTTTTATCCAACCATGCTTCCCTGAGACCCCTTTAAGCCACCTGTTATATGTCTTATTTATTCTGTTAAATAGTAGCATAATATTCATGATGTGGTTGTATTCCCCCATTAATGGTTATTCCATTTGTTTCCATTTTTTTCCTCACTATAAGCCCTGCTGCCCCCAATGCCCTCACACATATGTACTAGTGATTTTATTTCTGTAGGATGGATTTCCAGCAGGGGGATTGTGAGGTCAAAAGTCATACGCATTTGGAATTCTAGTGATAACATTAGATGGCTGTCTAAAATGGTTGTGATATTTAAAAAAAATATATTTTATTTATTTATTTGTCAGACATATATAGAGAGAGCACAAGCAGGGGGAGCAGCAGGCAGAGGGAGAAGCAGGCGCCCTGCTGAGCAGGGAGCCTGATGTGGGACTTGATCCCAGAACCCTGGGATCATGACTGGAGCCTTAACCAACTGAACCACCCAGGCATCCCAAATGATTGTGGTATTTTATATTTCCACCGGCAACATAGGACAGTTTGTCTGCATCCACACCAGCAACAGGAGTTACAGCTTTTCATTTTTTTGCCCTTCAGAAGGGCATAAAGTGATATTTTGTTGCTACGTAACATTTATTTCCATGCCTGCTAGTGAATTTGAGCATCTTACCATGTTTGCAGGCTATCTGAACTTGCAACTCTGGATTTTTTTCTAGTTTGATTTGTCCATGTTCCTCTGCAATGATTGCCTTTTTCTTACCGCATGTGTACCGGCAGCTTGCGTGTTTTAAGTATTAACTTTGTACCATCTGCATTATAAATATTTTCCCTTCCGAAATTGCTTCACTATTGTTTGTTTAGGGGATATTTTACAGTTCAAAGGACTATGCTGTGAATATCTATTTTACATTATATTTCAAAAATATTTTTTATTTGGTTGAAATTTTTATCAAGGTAAAAAATTGACAAACTTGATCGATTTTAAAACATGTACATAATCTTCAAGGGTAGCTAGTTATGCAAGGCTTTTTACAAGAATACAGCAGTCCTTTCTTGTCCAGCCCACCCCATCTATTTTCCTACTCTTCCGAGCCAACCACTTTCTACTTTTAACTGATTATTTCATTCTTTCTGTCCACATCTCTACAGAGCATGCTTAAAATGCTACTTGATTTTTTCGAAGATTTCATTCTTTTTCCTATGAACCTTGTCACCTCAATGCATGTGCCATCTTCCCATTCCCCCATCCTGCTGTAAATTATGTTGTAATCATTTCTAGATGCATATTATGATGCTATAAGTGCTTTCACAGCTGTTTACATCTTGAAATGTCACCAATAGGTTATTCCTTTGTCTTGAAGGAAGCCTGGAGAAGGCGCCCTCCCTTCTACGTAATTGTATGATTTGAATTTTTGCAACTGAAATGCAAGACTTTACATTTAATTTTTTCTTGTTTGTTTGGTCCATCATTCTATCTGTGAAATAGCTTTGTACACTGGATTGTCTTTCATCTTTACACGCCCCCCAAGCCTAGCACGGTGGCTGACATGCACGGGTATGAGCAAAGGACTTGTTAGATGGTAGGAATTGAGCAGAGCATCCAGATTGCCTAATGCCCGCTCTGCTAATCTGTCTTCCTTTCTCCGGGTTCCTGAGAGACATGTACTCACAAGGAACTCTTGCAAATGAGAACCAGGGCACCTCAGTACTATCTGGGCCTGTGTCCAACAGCAATGATGCTTTCTCCCCGAGTGTGGCATTCTAGTAAAGAGGTGTTGGATCATGAATCTCAAGCATTCTATGATTTTATAGGCATGCAAATGAAACTAAAAGTTCTGTAGTGTCTGGAATTATTCTGTTAGCCAGAGTCCGGGCTGCGCTCCCAGGCAAGTTCTTTTTCAATTCTTTGGTTGTAATGAATGGGAATTTTGAGAACCCAAGGGTCTGAGGTGGGTCAAGGAGTTTCATTTCCTTTTACCCCCTGTAAGTTATAATGCCTGAGGTTGCTGCCTGGTCCCTTCCCAGCTCCGAGGGGGCAACCAGGAATCAGAATGCCCTTAGGTGTAAAAAGAGCCACTCTCCACAGTGAGGCAAAGGGCAATGGCTTGTCCAAGGCCTGACCCTAGGCCAGCATTATCCCTTGACTAAGTGTTCCTGGGGGCAGGGGTAAGAATGTTTTGAATTCTTTTATTATGTCCCTCGGGGCAGAAATTAAGAGCCCAAGATGACATCCAAACACAACCTTCTTTTACTTTATTTGGAACACTGATAGACAAGTTTTCTATCAATTTATTTGTACCAATAAACCCAGCATGGTTTCTAAACAAAAGGCACATTGAGTGGTAGGTCTGCAGGTGCTTCGTGTTCTCCTCCCTCACTGGACACGCAACTGATTTTCTGGAAAGGGTGCAATGGCCTTGGTGGACCTTGCTTAAGAACAATAGACAATGACAACCATTAATCCAAATTTGCTTCCCTGCAGAAGGAGAAGGGCTTTGCATGGACCCGTCAGGGGGACTCAGGCTCCATGTTGGGGACTTCCCAGAGGGTCTTTCGAAGCACTACTTGTCTCCCTTAAGAAAACATATGACACCTTTTACAATGTGTGCTATTTTCTACAATTTATCAAGGATTATTGTTGGTGACCCCAATGACAATTTGGACATTTATTTTAAAATAATAGAGCGCAAAACATTTGAGCCCAGACAGAATCTCAGGTGGAGTAGGTAGGAGCTTTCTGTTTCTTTTCTCTTACGTTGTGGCTGTAGACTGTTTGTTGGTGCTGGGGATAGCGGTCCCCGTACCTGGCCACAGGCCTGGGCTCATGACTTGGGCCTGGCTGCCTGTGGAACCCCTGGTCTTGGCGACAGTGATTGGTTTCAGCTGATAGGCCTGAAGGATAGCCAGAGCCCGGGACTGGTCTACAGACACCAGGGGAAAGAGGACTCTTGTCCTGAGGCTGCTGGGTGTGGGGAGGGGAGGTCTGACTGATAGCTATCTCCCCTGGCTCGAGCGGGCTGTCTCTGCAGAGTGAAGCTAAGGAGACAAGCAGAGAAGACAGAGATCACGAGGGAGGAGAAGTGAGGGAAAGGACAAAGCAGGGAGAGTGAAAGTAGTGAGACCCACAAGTCCTGGTTGCCCCGAGGCCTCCTTCTGGCCTTCCAGGCCGGAGACCTTTGTCCCATAGTTCTTCCCATGTTGGGATGGCACCAGCCCTCCCCGTAGTGGCGCCAGCCACCCTCTTCTCCAAAGTCCCCTCCCTCCTCTTGATCAGCTCAGATGAATTCAGTCACCTACATTCGAGAATCCTCATTAACAGACCATGTTAGGCTTGCATTCTTTCTATGTGTCTACTTGGCCTTTTCCAACTTGAGGATAACCTTCTCTGGTGAAGATGTTCGAGAAGAGGTGTTGATGAGTCCTGCTTTCTTTCTGTTCTTTCTTTAACATTACGGCCCCTTTTCCAGGTGCCAGCTTGCCCTTTTCTTGCTTTTCTACATTCTCTGAGCATAACTTTACTCAACCATTTGGAATCCTTAGCTGTTTTCCTAAATCCTGTTCATTCTGGACTTTGGATATTTTTACACTCCTCATAGAATTTCACTCTACACTTTTAAAGCTCCTCCTTCCATTTTTCTGGATATATTATCATTAACTTCAAAACATAAATAGGGTACAGGTCTTCTATATTTTCATATATAGAATTATAAAAGTAAGAGGTATTTATGATAAAGAACATGAAAATCCAGAAGTGGTCAAAGGAGAAAAACCATAAAATAAAGGAATGTAAAATAATAAAACAATGTCATCCCTGCATCCAGAGATGAATATTAATATTTCTATAGGTGGTCTTCTTGTATATTCCATACATATCTATGTATCCACACTATTTTAAAATCCAGCTTCAACAGGAGGAGAGAAATCACTGCCTCCCAAGGATTTTGTCCCTTTCATGGCTTTGGGCAGTTCTTTCTTTTTGCTCTGATGTAAGTCCTGAGAAGCCACACCACTTTCTCTTGTCACTGCTTCTCTTTTCTAGCTTTAAATTGTCAGAGAGGCCAGGCAATGCCTTCTCAGGGGCTCTGATGGAGGCAGAGCAGGACTTCTGGTGCAGGCCCGTCCCTGCTCCCCGTCCCCGGGGCCTGCTGCATCTGGGTTTATGGTAAGTGTTCGGGGAGGAATTTCCAGGCCTCCCATCCAGCTGTGCATGTTTCTAGCACGAGCGCGCTTGTGTCCACTGATCTTCATGGAAGCGCCAGCATTCTGCACGGGAGCACATTTCCATGTGTGCACGTCCTTCTCTGCTCTTTGCTGCCACTTCCTGTCCTCTCGCGGACCAGCGTTATGGCCGCGGCCCTTGCGGGGGAGCACATCTGGATTTGAACACGGTCTTCGGCACTGACTCAGTCATGTGGCCCTGAACAAGCTACCTGGTGAGGCTTTTGGACCTGATCGTGCTCCTCTGAGGGACGGGGATAAGTTGATCTGAGAGGGGCAGCCTGGGCTTCTCGGAAGGAGGTGATGGTGCTCGGTTATCTCAGGAATCCCAGGGAGGAGTCGCCCACAGCCCAGCATAAACCCCGTGCAAAATCCCACCCCCTCCTGCGTCCCAGAGCCTGAAAGGAATTTTGTGGAGGTCAAACCTTTTCTCTTTTTCTTCTAGAACCTGAGATAAGAGGAGACTTGGATCTATAGTAGAGTGAGAGGTCAGTGACTGATAGCAAATATTGTGAAAGTGTTTTGATATGGAGTAAAGGAGAGAGAAAGAGAGAGAGAGAGAGAGAACAGTGGGCCTGAAAAAGGAGGGGGCTGGGACAGGGACAGAAAAGAGGGCAGCGGGATGGAGGCAGCCATAGACAGTGTCCTGGCTTTGGCTGTTCTGACGGGTTGTTTAATCCTTTGTTGTCTCTTGGACACGTTGTTGGCCAAGAACCAGATGCCTTGCAGCCCTGGGCTCGCCCCTGCCTTTGTTTGTTGTCCTGAGCAGTTCCACCAGCTAGCTGCTCTTGGCAGAAATAAAATGGATGGTATTGAGGTCTGGGAAGCAATGAGAGTTCAAGGACATGTCTCCCAACAGGATATGCATAAAAAGATGTATAGTGGATCTGGGCTCCTAAGGCACCTATCAGTTACTCGAGAGAGCCTTCCAGAAGAGGGTGGGACTCTCTGGGGCCTGAGGGTCCATCCTGGGGACATGCTGGTACCGGGCGAACTTACAGGTGGGACAACTGGGAGGTCGGAGAGCGGATGAATACAAAAGGACCCCCAGTTTTCCAGCACCCGCAGTTGCCTGCTCAGTGGGGGTGAGGCCTGGCACCTTCTCCAGCTCCTGAGACCCTGCAGGAGGCCACCAGATAGCAGGCTGGGTGAGTGTTGAGAGCAGGCTGGGTGTAAGAGTGTACGTAAGTTGAGAAGGATGAGTGAGTAAGTAAGAGAGCAACCTATTGGAAACATTTAGGATAAGGAAAAAGTGGGGCAGGAGAGATCTGGGAAAAAAATATCAACCAAGCTGACATCTTTCTTTGTTCTGAGCAGAGGCCTTTTATGCCAAAGAGCCAAGGAGAATTCAAGGATGGCCAGCGTTCATTCATTTATCCAACCACTAATTACTCATCTGGGAGCTACTGACGTGTGCTGGGGGTACAGAGAAGAGGGGGTACAGAGAAGAGGGTGGTCTCTGTTCTCAAGTCCCTTATAGCCCATTCTGCATCTGTGCGTTGGCTCACACCACCCCTTGCCTGACCCGCTCTCCCCTTCTCCCCATCTATTCCAGGCGTTCCCAGCCTCAGCACAGGTGGCATTTGGGGATGGGGATTTCTTTGTTGTGGTGACTGTTCTGTGCATTGTAAAACTTTTAGCAGCATCCCTGGCCCCTACCCACTAGCTGCCACGGCCCCTCCTGAATTGTGACATCCAAAAATGTGTTGAGACATTGCCGGATATCTGATGGGGGCAATGGAACCACCGATCCATTTTGACTTTATCCATATTTCATAACCTTACTCAGGTCCTCCTCCATGAAGCTTGCTTTAGCTGCTGTGGCTCATCTGGATTCCCCTTCCCTTTGGGCTCCCATGCCAGGTCTTGCTGCTGCAAGGCCATTCGACATGAAACCTTCCCCCCCCCCCCCCGATCTCTGCAAGAAGACAGTCCTGACGATGGTCCCGGAGCTGAAGATTTCATTCAGGCACCGTGGCAAGCCTATGGCCTCTCCAAGAACGAGCTGCTTTCATCCGCCAGGGAGACCCAGCTTCCTCAACTCTCAAATCCAGTGCAGTGCTAGGTCGGAAATTTCCAACCATCCATCACAGAAGATACAGAGGGGCCAATTGGGTAGATTTCTAGGTACCCATTCTCTTTAAAAGAAGCAGACTGTATGTTTTATACACTGAGTTTCTGTCTGGTGTTTTGTCGGGAGGGTACCATGGAGGGAAAAAAGATGTCAAAAACTATTATCTTAAAGACTTTTCTAATATTTGATAGTGAGATATTGTTTGTATTAATTATATCGCTCAGTTAGGTGTGAGGGCCTTCAAGGCCTGCTACCTTGGTGATATTGCCACAGAGCCAACTAGCTCAGGGCTGGGCTCACAGAAGGTTCAATAAACATTTGCTGTTTGATTGTGTTTTCACTCCAGTGCCGGAGATGATTTTACTCTGATGTGGGGCCCCGGCATTTGAAATCTCCCTATCTCAGTTAAGGGGGTTTCATTTGCAAAAGATAGAAAACCTCACCACAATAGCTTGAACAAATAGTGGTTTCTTTCTCTCACATAAGACAGCAATGTCAGGGCCGGCTTCTTGAAGGTTTTCTGGGCCCTTCCCTCAGTGAGGGCTCAGCGCCTAGAGCCAGGGAAGGCGGGCAGCCAGAGGCCCACACACAGAGCCCCGCACCTTGACTGGTCTTGTGCCTGGGGCTGGTGCAGGCTCCAGTCCCTGAGCTCACCCACTGCCTGGCCAGGCCCCTCGAGGTGGCCCCTGGAGAGCAGCGACAATGGTTCGCTGCTCCTGGACTGGGGTGAGTCTGTCTGTGGCTTAGGCTTCCCTTTCCTCTGGACAGAGGTGGCAATTGGAATTGATGGCTCCCCAAAAAGGAAGCAATTAAGTAAGTCAGACAATGCTGCCTGTTTTTGAAATCCCATGGGTTTAAGTAGGCTTAGAAGGACCAATATGAGAATTAACCCAATAAACTCTTTCATTCTTTATGTTGGCTGGAGCAAGGGAAGGACACCAATAAAAGGAATCCCTTTTCTTCTGTTGTCACCCTTCTAGTGGCCCCTGCAACTGCTCCCTCAAACAACCCCATACCCCACTTCCTGATTCATTTCTCTACTCACGTCCCTCCACTGCTCGAAAATTCTGACCTTTATCTCTATCCAGACCCCATATCGGACTTCTGCTTCTAGTAGAGGCAGTCCAGCTACTCTGGGCTAACCTTCCTTCTGAAAACTACTGAAACAATCTGAAAAAATGTTTAAAATTTTTTTTTTCTCTATAATATCAAAAATCAAATAGAACTGTGAGGGATTAGCAAACCAAAATCTAGAAGGCAGAAATCCAGAGAGGTGAGCTTGGCATTTAGGGCTATGTTTGCCCGGAGGGCATTAGCTAGCCAGTCTTCATGTGATTTTTGCACCTGCCACAATGATGTCCCCCCTAGCTTCCCTGATTCCTCTGTCCACCAAAGTCCTAGCACCTTAAGAGACTGATGCACTCAAGGTTGGATTTATTATACACTCTTTATACTGTGGTTTATTTGGAGGATAAGTTTTAATTTTCCTAGAATATAGGTTTCTGAAGGACAAGGATCATGTCTTCAATTGTGTCTATCACAGTGCCTTGCACAGGGGAGACACGAAATAAATAATTTTTACAGAAATCTGTAACCGTGAAAAGCCATTTAATATCTGTGACTCATCTTCTCAGCTGTTAAAATGATTAAAACAATATCTGATCTAACCTATTTCACCAGATTGCTGAGAAGCTCAAGTGGGCTAGTAGATACGAAAGAGCTTGGATCATGTAATATGCTGTAGAGAATTACTAACAGTAATGAGCACTGAGGATCGAGCAGCCATTGGGTATTTATAACAGGAGGATGGTGCATGTGCCCCTTCGGATCACTACATTTGTATCTTTGGGGTAAATATCCAGTAGTAATTGTGAATCAGAGACCTGTACCCCTGAAATAAATAATACATTTTATGTTTTTAAAAAAACAAACAGGGGGATGGAACTATCAATGGTTAGAGGTTAATGAGAATCAAAACTCATTGTCTGAGCCCTTGGGTCACTGGCACCAGGACTCAAGTCTTCCCTTCGCTCACTTCTGCAGTGATGTTTACCGAGGACGTCTGCTAAGACTGGCATTGTGTCAGGCTCTGGATATGCAGAAATAAAACCGTTTCTGCCCACACCTCACTCAGTCTGGTGAGGGACCAGGTAAAGGTGGCAAGTGATATAACAGAGATATTTATAAAGTGCCAAAAGAGCACCGAGGGGAGACACCTGACATGAGAAGAGAGATACTAGGAGGCCTTCCTGGAAGAGGTGACCACTGAAACAAGTTCTGAGGGACAAATAGGAGGCAGTCAGTGGAAGAAAAGAGCTATTTCAAAAGAGGGGACAGTCTGTGTAAAGGACTGTTTTTGAAATCCCATGGCTTTAAGTAGGATTCAAAGAGCAACTCTTCTTAAGGAAAGTTTTGGCCGTTTTATGCAGAGGAGGAGGCCTGTTGACTCGAGAGTCTGAGAGTTACATGAGGACCACATTAGTGAGGGCCTCGTGTGGCCTCATGCACAGCTCTAAGTATGCGCTCTCTTCTCTCCAAGACACTGTCTAGATCATGTCATCCAGCAGTTCTGAAACTCCAGCATGAATCAGAATCTCTTGGAGAGCTCGCTCAAAGACACCCTGCTGGGCTCACCTTTGAGCTTCCTATTTGGGGGGGGCATGGTTGGGGGGGAGAATTTGCATTTCTGACAAGTTCCCAGGTGATGCTGCTATCGCTGGTCTGGGGACCACTGGGAGAACCACTGCTGTAACCCAACCTTTTTTTCTCGCAGCTGAGACCTGGAGGGGAAGCGCATCAGCCCAGGTCACACAGCTGCCTAAGGCGAACTAGTCCAACAACAGGAACTCTGACCTCCTCCCAGCGGAGTCCCTCCCTTCTTGGATCTTGGACAGCCTGTCCTCCCTTCCAACCTCTCTTCCTCCCTCCCATCCTCCCTCCCCCGCAGGAACCTCCCCTCACAGCGCTCGCTCCCCTTTCAGCCACCTGTAAGGCAGAGAGATCGCGTGTTCCGATTTACACCACAACCCAACTTTTCAAGACCCCAACGTTTTAACCGCAGGTTCAATCGCGGATTTTCCGGCAGGCACCGCGGCGGCTCCCGACCCGGCAGTGGGATCGGCCCATCTCGGTCCAGGGAGCCGGGCTCTGCGGACCGCGGCCCCCTGGCGGGGGAGAAGCGCAGCCCCGCGGGCGACAGTCCGGTCCCCTAGGCCGCCGATCCCCGCAGCGACGGGCCGCCCGAGCACGGCGCCCTCGAGTCCCCGGCCGCGGAAGGGACCTTCCCGAGGGGCTGGGGTGGTGATGGGCACCGGCCACCGGCAGCCCGGCCGTCCCGCCCCCTCGGGGTTCTCAAGCTCAGGGTCCACCACTTCCCCCCCACCCCAGTACAGCCTGCTTCCCAAGAGGGCTCCCTCCTGCTGGCTGAGTTCTCGGAGTCCTGGAGCCTGGAACGCGGCTCGGTGTCGGGCTCTCTGCAGCCCACCGCGGGCTTACTGAGGGCAACGAACAGTGTTGGGTCCATCACCAACAAAGGACGCAGCCCTGTGGCGCCCGTTCCCTTCCATTTCTTTAGAAAGCATGTATCATGGGTCTGCCATTCACCTTGACCTTTGCTAGACATCGTGGGGCATGCAAACACGGGAGGCGCACACTTTCTGCCCTCCGGGAACTTAAAGGTAAGGCTGGGGAGACCAGCACCCAGCACCGCAGGCCGCGTTCACAAAGCACTCTACTCCCCCGGTTTGGAGGTGCCTCCAGAACTGATACGAGCTGGACCCATGTTGCCATCTGCAGCGTGGGTGTCAAGAAAGGTCCCTTGCGTGGTCCGCAGAGGCTTCAGGGAGGAGGGGGCGCTGGAAGTGGACTTTGGAGGGGTAGACGGGGAGAGGGGCCTTTCCAGGTTGGGAGTGACTTGGGGGGGGGCAGTGGGATGAGGAATGGCCTGGCCTGCGGGGGTGGGGGTGGGGGAGCTCCTCTAGGTGGTGTGTTGGCAGGTGGAACTTGTTCTCCTCCAGCTGTAGGGTCTTTATGAAGACCTTTATGTTTCAGGTGACCAGCCACCTGGTAAGGCCACAGCATGTGCTGCGTCCGACTTAGGACAAAGCAGAGTAACGCAGTTCCGTGGACTCTGGTTTTCTGCTTCTCTCAGAGCCATTGGGAAAATGGCACATGCCCTGGGCAGGCGCAGGCGCTCTGAACCCGGGAATAGGGAGCTGTCTGGAGTTTTATGGACAGCCGTATAACAGGAGAATGACATTTATCTTCCAGGGTGATCTTTTTTTATTAAGAGGGCCTGTTTGGATATGGTTAATAGCTTATTCAAAGCAGTTGGGCAGGGCTGAAGGCAATCCCAGTTTCGGTGGGTTCTTGGTTAATAATACGAGCAGCGTGGAAAGAGAAGGATGGGATGAGGTGAGCAGAGCAGAAGAAAGGATTCCCAGTGGAGGACTGATGTTTATGAGAGGCTCTGAAAAAAACTTACATATGCTTATGTTTTTTGGTCCTAACACACCTTTTCTCTATGAAAAGAGAAGGAAATCTGTAATACCATAGCTCCAAAGAAAACAAAGTATCAAGTCATTTTTAGATTTAACAGGTAGCAAGTATTGGGGCGCCTGGGTGGCTCAGTCAGTTAAGCGTCTGACTCTTGATTTCAGCTCAGGTCATGATCTCAAGGTGGGGGGATCGAACCCCAGGACAGGCTCCGCGCTCAGTGGGGAGTCTGCTTGAAGATTCTCTCTCCCCCTTCCCTCTTGCCCTCTCCCATTCGAGAGCACACACACATGTGCACACACACACTCTCTCTCAAATAAATTAAAAAAAAAAAAGGTAGCAAGTAATCATGAGACCCTACTGCTGGAGAGGGGGCAGATGGGAGGCATCTTCCCACATCTGGTGTGAAGTTGATGGTCTTCATCTGGTTCGTGGAGGAGGCTATGGGTGTGAGATAGAGAAGAAATACCAGGGGGGCTGCTGAATGCTCAGGTTCTCTCTCCCAAGCCTCACCCAGAGATGCTGTTTTAGTTGGTCTCTTTCTAGTCTTCACCTTGGAGTTTCTTTGTGTTTACCAAATCCTTCCTTTAAAATAGGAACACAGAGGCGCCCGGGTGGCTCAGTCGTTAAGCGTCTGCCTTTGGCTCAGGTCATGATCCCAGAGTCCTGGGATTGAGCCCCGCATCGGGCTCCCTGCTCAGCCGGAAGCCTGCTTCTCCCTCTCCCACTCCCCCTGCTTGTGTTCCCTCTCTCTCTGTGTCTCTCTCTGTCAAATAAATAAAATCTTAAAAAAAAAAAATGGGAACACATGTGAACACAGGTGAGTGGAAGGATGGCAGGAGAGCTGGGAAGTATTCTGAGGTTTGGGACATCTTGGGGGTGGGAGGGCTTTGGGGGGAACTTTGGGTGTGGCAGAGGACCTTGAGAAGCACTGGGTATTGGGACAGGGCACCTACGGGGAGCTGGGAGGGCATTCAACACACACTTTGCCTGATACGCTGTGATACGCCTACCAAAAAGGGCAAAATGCCATCTCTGAGGAAGATGCTCTTTGAGACCTCGTGAGGGTGTCCCAGCTTCCTGTTGCTGTCTAGGAAACTACTCCAAAACTTAGTTTTCTACGTCAACAACCATTTTATTGTATCTAATGATTCTGTGGGTCAGGAATGAGGGAGGGGCTTTGCTAGGTGATTCTTCTGTTCCGAATAGAGTCGATGAAGATCTCTTGATGGTACTCTGCTAACATTTTAAGAGGCAGAAGAAGAAAAAGAAAAAGCCAATAAATATTTGTTGAG